TAAAAGTCAGAAACTAAAACCATCAGAATTACAATAATGTCAAAAGAGACAAATGTCTTCAAGAGAAATACAGCAATGCAGACAAGACTTCTCAGTAACATACATACTGAATGGTGGAATAATAAACTGCAACCCTAATTAGGAGCATAATGTCTGAATAGTCTGAACACACAGTGGACAAAAAAAAAAAAACAACAAAAAAACCACTACCCCAAAACAAACAAACAAACAAAAAAGGCAGGTATTTCAAATTGTCCAGAATTTAAATTAATCCTTCCCCCAGGTTAATGGCAAAAAGGCACAGTTAAACTACAGAAGTTCAACAGTACCACTGACATCACCCATTTTACTAGAAGCTGCTTTCAAGTTGGTAGTATTCCCCTTGTTTGTTTAATGGATCAAGTAGAGACCAGCTGTTCAACGTATGCTACAGTTCAAAGCAAATCAAGGTATTAGATTTTACTTCAATAGGAAACGTGGGAGAAAAGATGTATTGGGGAACCTAGATAAACACAGAAAGTCTGATTTTATTTCCTTATGCAATTGCAAACAGAACACAGAATGCCTCAGATATCAAGCACTCTTGAGGAAATAGCTTTGAGTTATTCTAAAAGAGAATTATGTGATAATTTCATGATGCAGCTGAAGACAGAATGAACCTTAAAGCCAGCAACATTCTAGAAAGTCGACAGACATCTGCCACCGAAAGAATTATTTAAGTGTAATGCTGTGGGATACAGATAATGCCTTTAAACCACTGACTGTAGAAACGCATACTGCACAACTAAACATTCATAATGGGAGAAAGTTTAGTTTTCTATCAACAACTAACCAGCTCAGGAACGGTACTAGCAATAAAATGATAAAGTACTAAGGCAAATTCATTTTTTTTATTTAATTAAAAAAATAAATCAATGGAGAAGTGAGAATTAATCTGATTTTCAGAGAAACAATGTATGCATTAGAAGCTCAGCCAGTCTTAAGAGCAGCACCGAATGCATTTAAGAGGCTAACAAACGGACAATTCTATTTCGAAAAGTAAGATGCTCATTCCACACTATTATGCAAAGGAGAGAACTTCTGACTCTGGAGAAGAACACCAACGAAATACTGGAGCACACCTATCATACTTCTCCATCACAATAAAGTAGGATGTTCTTCAGGTGCTTACCTCAAACAAGGTGAAATTCCTTTCAGAAATATTTTCGTGGTTAAACCCTCTCACTCAGACATCCAAGGCCTCTAGCCACAAAAAGACCACAGAAATAGATCAAAGTAACAATGTTTTCAGCAGTACCACATTATTTCAGCTGAAACATAAATCGGATCTTAAACACAGATCAGTCGAATGTGGGAAATTTCAATGCAGGGCGTCACATCAGATTTGCATTGCACTACTTATTCTAAAGGACAATCACCTTGGTATAAGCAAATTTCAACTTAGAGGAGTTCCTTTGTTCTCAAGCTCCACACAGGCCAGGTCCAATTCTTAGAGAAATTATTTCTATCGAAATACAAAAAAATACCCACTGCCTTTCCTTCCCTCTTCTGGCTTCTAAGGAAGAAGTTTCCAAGGAAACCTTAAACCACACACACTAAAAAAATAATAAATATTACTTTTCAACTAAAAAAAAAATACAGCTCCTACTAAAGCATGCTGAGGAGAAGGATACCATGCCAAAACCAAGCTCCTATTCATTGGCACCATCAATTCTCCTTGGATATACAGGGGTTTGTTAACCTTCGAGAAATCACTTGCACTCTCCTTTTGGCTTCTTGCAAAGTATAACTGGGCAACTAATCCACACTGCACTGAAATCTATTGTATTTTTCCAAGAACCTATGTTAATTACGGGAATACTTTCCATGTTTAGTTTTGAGCTTTTCAAAATGAGATGACAATAACATTCCCCATTTATGAAAAGGAAGTATTTTCTGGCTCTTCAAGATCAGTAACAGAAAATGAAGGAGCATATGCTACACCCCACAGCTGTAGTATTTGCTCAGAGTAACTGAGGAATGAAGCTGTGCTGCACCACAGCTGGTGAATATACCACAACTCAGCAAGTCTAAAGCACTCTCAATCCAAGTGAAAGCTGTATGGGGGCATGTGCATGATATTGTCAGTATTATATCCAAAATATCCCTGCTACCTATTGCCCTAAGACGACAACCAAAGAGAGATGTAATTGCTTCAGGACAGGTAGCATGCTCTTTAGACTCCTCTGATCTTCATTGGATCCAGAAAATTTCTTGGAAACCAGTAAGCAATACATCAGTAATTGTGATTTATTTACACACATTCTTAAGAAATGGGAAAGAAAACCCAGACACTGGAGCATTTTTCACAAGAGGCTGAGCTAGCAATCAACCAGAGGTCACATCTTCACATATTTTTTAACAATTTTTAACAACTTTCAACAATCTTTTAACAGCTTCCAAACCCAAGAGGCAATTCAATCATTCAAAGTTGAGGTGACAAGAACAGCAATAAAAAAACAAAACCAAAAACAATCAGGGACAATCAAGTATATAGAGGAATAAAGAGGAGCCAAGATCACAGCAAAGAGATTGAGATAACTACCAGATAACAGGGTGAGTCAATCAGCACCGCACCTTGGCTCCATGAGTTGAGTCAATTATTAACAATGCATTTGGCCTTTGCTAAATTTAATACAAAGCACAAGTTCTGCACATGTGGGAAGTCTTTATTAAAAGTGATGTGTTAAAATACATGTTTTTAGATCAAAAACATCAGTTCCTGAAATTATACTGGAACTCATTTTATGGGGAGGCTGGAAGGATAATGAAGAGATTTTTCTGGTCCCCAAACAAATCAGAGAAATCCCTTGTTCAGTCTCTAAACAGAGAAGTCTGTTTAATTACAGCAAATCCTATTAAACAGATCTTCCTTATAAAGGGCTGAAGTGACCAACTCCAAAAGGCTATAAAAGACACAATGGATTCAGAATTTAATTAAGACATACTGTTAGCTAGCTATAATCTATTAATTAGCATTCTTAGTTTTTACAGCTCATTGCAATAATACCCTTTTCCTTTTAAATTGCACCCTTCTTTTTTGGGCCAAAGTTATACAATTCTACCAGTGTGGTAGTAATTACAGTGATTGCCTAGAGAACAGCAGCCTGGAAATATCTGTAAATGTTTAATTAGGGGATAAAGGAAAAACAAGGAAAAAAAGAAATCAGATAGAGGAAGCACTGTTCTCCAATCTATGTGTTCATTAACCACTTAATCCATTCTAAATCATACATTCATTGCAGTTTTCTTGCAAGATTTCCACAGCATCCTAAAATGTCAAAACTGATTTCAGAACGTTACTATAGTCTAAGATACTACATTTGGCATGAAAACAGAACCTAAAAATGAAAAAAACTTGAGAATTAAAATATTGACCTGCAGCTGAAATACAAAGAGCACCCGAAACTTGAGTGAATGATATTTCATGTATTCATTATACTGGTACTATACCATTATAACTAAAATTTTCACCAGATTATACTCTCTCTGACAAAATCCTACTTTCATAATAAAAGTATTCAGCTTTAGGTTTTCTTCACTCCAAGAAGACACGCACAAATGAGTACAAAATATCACACATATTAGCAAATAAATTCTCTATTGTGATACTTACCATTCAGTAAGAATACAACTATAAAATGACACAAGTTTATTAAATTATTTCATACTAAGTCATGAAAAGCAACTAACTTTCTTCAACTCAGTTCTTCAAGAAGTGAAAGGAAAACCGCAGACAGCTTCAGTGTAGCAGATTACCACTAACCAAAAGGAATCTACTATTTAAGAGAGGTCACCTGAAAGTAGAGTATAACATGTCAAGTACAACCACTGCTGGTTTTGCCCTCCAGCAGTTCCCCTCTTCCACCTTTTAAAGCAAATCTTGAAAAAGTGCTGCCTAAAACAGTAAGTATACCTTAAGAGCTTCAAGAACATGATCATGCTTGAATTATGGAAACTACTTAATTAAACTTTCTTAGATATTTAAAAATCTCAAGAGGGAAAGTAATTTTATCACAGTGAAAGCTGACTTAATTTCAGGAAACTCTGGAGTTGGACTCTGAGCCTGTTTTCTATAAGAGTGATGAGGGTCCTTACTGGAGAGTCCAGAGAGATGCCTAACTCACATTTGTTGAGAAACAGGAGGACACTAACTCAGAGACAACTAGTTACTTCCAGATTAAACTAGCAAAACATTCTAGGTGGGAAACATTTTAAAAAAGCTTTTAATAAACCCAGCTGAGTACAAAGAGACCTCAATTTTAATCTACCTCTCAGAATTATTCTAATTTAGGGATGCTTTTAAGAGGGACAGAAGAACTAGACAGCCAAGAGCCTCTGATCTTTTGCCTATTCCCTAAGTAGCCAGACCACTACAAAAGAAGAAAAAAAGGTAGGGTACTTTATGATAGTTGCATAACAAGAACTGCACAGCCTGTGACAAAAGAACAGATGTACAGGTATTAAACGGTGTTACTTAAGTATAGCCAAGAACACAATTTATATCTGTTTGTGAAAACTGAAGCTCTGGAGGTTTTAACTGGAGCTCTAAAATATGACCAGTGTAATGTGAACTTTGTTTTACTGGCAATCTGTCAACATTCAGCAACAGTTCAGTTGTATTTGGGATCAATGTTCCAAGGAATGCTGCAAGAGGTAAATATTATAGAAATATTAATTACGAACAGGGTAAAATACATCCAAAAGTAAACTGAGTGGTTAGCATCAATTCAAGGAAAAATAACACAACACACAGGAGAACTGAGTGCTCAAGAAGTGGCTTGCAAGTCTGACAAGAAACATTTAAAAAGAGGCTGGCGAGCTGAAAATGCATCTTATTCATACGAACTGCCTGAGAAAAGCACCAATATAACTCAGCTGCTTAAACATAACATGCAAGTTTATTGAACTTATGCAATCATGCCACTGCATTAATACAGCAGTGACATTAGATGACAAACCTGGTTTTCTTCTTGCAAAACTCTATATTGCTCCTTCCAAATGGTGATTTTTGAAGCTTCATCTTTCCTCAGAGCTCTCTCCTTTTTTAGCTCAGGACTCCAGAAGGTCTTGATACTGTTCATGGAAGAACTCAGCTTGCTTTCTTTCACCTCCACATCCTTGCGGAGCAGGTCATTTTCCCTTAGTACTTCTTTGAGTTGCGTCTGCAGATCCATTATTGTGTTATCCCTGGCCTGGCGCAGTGAGTGAGGCACAGTGGATGCCATACTCACTGGAGGGAGATGGTGCTCTCCAAATGCAATAGTATCACTGGCAACTCCGCTACTAGCAATGTTAGGGCTGCTACCCATTGCAGTCATCCTAACTCCATAAGGCAGCCGCCCCCCAGATCGGCCCAAAGTCATGGTGCTTTTTGGGGTGTCTGCACCCACGTTCTCATGGTCACTTAGATACATAGGGCCAGATGTAGCATAGGCAGCATTTAAGGACTGAATATTTTCCATTGAAAGGGTTTTCCCACTGCCACCCCCAGTACTACTCCCAGAACTGCCTCCTGTGCTGTTGGTTCGACGATGGCCCAAGCGTGGTGACCGTGGCAGCCTTGGTGAACGCCCTGGACTCTGGTTGCTTGGCTCAACCTTACCAACTGACCGAGCACTTCCATACATGATTAAGCTGGTGGTGTGAGGCAACTATATAGGCATAAATCAGGAATGAGAGAAATCCTGTTAAGTTGTTCAACAGTTAAAAGTCAGCTTAAGGCCAATCACAACTTATAAAAGATCCCGTCGTCCATCTTTGAAGTCACGTGCTCACGATGTTCAGAACCATATCTGTATCAAAAAGAATAACATATTAAAATCTGCATCAATAAAAACTAACTTAGTAAATGCCTAGTTTATCACCAAATATTTTGTCCCACATTAGCATAAAGTGTATTCTACTACCTTTACACTTCTCCACCATCTTTTCAATTCCTACACACAAAAAAACAATTTTTATTTAAATTCCAATATTTAAACTCAAAAGGAACTTCTATTCTTGCTTTTCCGTTGTTATATTATCACAGTAAAGAGAAAGAGGAAAAAAAATTCAATCCATAGCTTTTTATCTACAAAACTTAACTTACTTTCTTGTTTCTAACTGGCCCTAGTTCTTTACCTATTACCTTTCCAAGCAGAAGAGACAACCAAAATGTAAAGCCCATTCAGTAGTATTTTTTTATCTTTTCAGCACTACTAGGTTCTATAGGACACGGTTTCTAAACCCTGCTGCTGGGAAAATAATCTTGCAAACAGGAAGGTAGATGGACTAAATGATTCTGATCATGACCTTGACTAGCAGGTCCCTTTGGTGTTCCTGTCAGCCCTCCTTCAAAGTCAGAACCAAAACCCAGAAACATCATGAAATCATTACTGACCACAAAGCTTAAACAGAACTCTGAAGGAACAGCAATAACACACCAAATGGGACCAATTTGGTTAAGAGGAACAAAAGAATCACACTTGCACAGAAAACTGGTTCAAGTGTCTTTATTTTCTCTCAAACTGGGATTTGGTCCAAAACAAAAATCTTTGTTAAGGTCAAGCAAAGATTTCAATCCAAATATGCTTCTTATTAACCAGCTGATTAATTTCATTAAATAATTCCAAAAGCAGTAACCTCTTAAGAAAACAGAACAGTACCGTATCATCATAGTGCAGTTCCTCCTCCCCTCTACTTCTTTAAACAAGAACTCTGATAGCACACACAATAAAATTCCACAGTTTTGCACTGATAACATTATGCTGGTCTATAAGTGCTAGTAGGTAACTCTTCAGGGGCACTGGACTGAGACCAGTGTTAGCAGCCAAGATCGCATAGAGGAGCAAGAAACAGATGAAATCCACTCTTGTGGCTGAACTACTGTAATTTGGGACTACTCCTATTATAGTTCTCACTTTTTCCCCCGGTTTCTTCCAGTATACACTATTTCAAGCCACTGTTGGGCTCAACTGAAATGAAAACTAGAACACTGAAACATTCCTGATCTGACCTCTCCCCATCAGATGAAAAGAGTACAAATAGTGTCCAAAGAGCAGCAGCATCTTACATATTCCAGTATCTTTCCTTTCACACTAGGTTTCATTTAGCTTCACCTTCTGCTTGGAAGTAAGGTTTTCCAGATAGTAGGAATCAATTTTTCCAAACCCTATGGCACATTTGTGAGATAATAATTGGGCAAGAAGATGTAAGATTAGTCTCAAAAGAAGAGTACACTTACAAAAGAAACTGTAAAAATAGTACAAGTGGGTGGAGGGGAAAAGACCAAAAAAATTAACATTGCAAAGAAGACTGAAAAAGGATAGAAAGAAAAAAGTAAAAGCTTAATAAAGAAAAGATACATAATTTTTTTCCTTTCAGAAACAAGTTAGTACAGGAAAAGATACAAGAAATAGTTTTAAATGTTTATTTTAACCATGAGTTTCAAATGGAAAACAAGATCAGAGTGAGCCGCATTTTGTCATTTACACACTATTTCATAGTAGATACAACATCATGAGTAACTTCACAAAGCTTATGGAAGCTGATTTTGTGAGCAGTCCTCAAGAGGTTCAAGCGCACTCTCTCTCTTACTCTCACTTTCTCTGTTTTTTTTCTAATGACAACCAAAGCTAGCAACAATATTGCTATGGAATATTTTAAAACACATATGTAAAGGAAAACAGGCCAAGGAAAGATAGCCAGCAGCATTAATAATTGAAGTTAGCTACCAAAACACCACCTACAGATAATTTCTAAAATACAAGTTACAGATAAAATCTCTCTTCTATTTCAGCTTATGCAAAAACAGCACAAAATACAAACTATGTAACAAAGTCGACAGTGTTCTACTGGAGTTGCTTCAATAAGCAAGACACTGTGCCACAGATCTGGAAGAAAAACACTTCTTACAAACAGAAAAGCTATTTCAGACTAATGTCACTGAGATACCAAAATGCTAAAAATGCTGCTGTGACACCACTTCAGCACTCAAAACAAGTTAGATATGATTTCTTAGACACTACATAAAGTACGTTCAAGAGAGATCTTGCAGTCACAAAGATTCTCTTGAAAAATTAATCTAAATCACAGCACTTAATTTCTTTGCTAGAAACTCACCACAGTAAATCAGTGCAAACACGCATTCACTTAAGAGATTCATACAAGTTTACTTAACCAGAAGATTAGACATGTGTTATTCTTTGTGTTTTAAAGTACTTTCACCCAGAAACATTAATTTTAAATGTTACTAGAAGTATATTACTGTTGCATGCAGACGTACCACCTAGTAAAGTACTTAACAACACACAAAAAGCCGAAAAAAAGATTTTAGATTCTTATAAGTTCATCACACCCAAAACGGAAAGCTCATGGAATTGCTTTTGTAAACATTTTGTTAAACTGCTAATAGCTTTTCAAAAAATGGAAGTGACTGATGTCCTCGACAGAAAAGTAGTTTCCCAGGCACCTGAAAGGAGCTGGTACCACAGCAGGCACTGTGCAGTAGCCATCTTCTAATACACCAGCAGGCAGGTTAGCTCTTATCCACCTTCAGTGGAAACAGCAATCCTATGCTTATTCAGCTCTCAGCTTTGTTCCACAGGTAGGCACTGTAACCTCTGTTACTCCAGAAAAAAATCAAATAATTCAAGCTACAAAAGCCAGCTGCTAAAATTAGCTGTTTATTGGGGTTACAGAAAGTATTCCTGGAGCCAGCACACATAAAACTCAGGAAGAACTCTGACATCGCTGACACTACCGCCACGCATTACTCTGCATTCACTTCTCAAAAGCAAAACCAAACAAAAGCATCAGATTAAGAAAAGAAAGTCTTTGGAAACAAACAAACATAACCCTACAGTATTTCTCTTGAGATGAGAACTTCCGTTACATCATTGTTAGACTTTAAAAATTGGGAATATTCTGAATATTAACTAAATACACCTTTCTAACCATGGAACCAGTTTCAGTATTTCCACTGACACAGAGATTTGTCAAGAAAGAAAACAGACAAACAAAAAAACCAACATGTTACAAGATAAATCTAAACTCTTCCCTCCTCCCTCCCACTTTTTTTTCTTCTAATAGCATTTATCACCAGCCATTTGACCTTGTTGCTATTAGGAATCCATAAGCAGAAGTAGATATTAAGACAATCCACACTAGGAAAAACATCTTTTACCCTGGAAACAGCAAAGTGAAGGAAGTGGCGGAAACACCTTTTCTCATTCATAATACAAATTAATCAGGAAGAACAAAAAAAAACTTTCAGTGACCCTCCAGCAGCCCAAGCAAAATTACATGGAATATTTCTTTCAGACAGCAACATAACTGAAAAGTTACAAGTTTTTCAACATTCTGCACCAGACTAGTGTTGTACTAGGAATTTCAGAAGTAGAATCTTATCTTCCATGAGGACAACATGTATCACAGTATGTTAGAAATCGGAAGGGACCTCAAAAGATCATCTAGTCCAATCCCCCTGCCGGAGCAGGAACACCTAGATAAGGTTACACAGGAACGTGTCCAGGCAGGTTTTGAATGTCTCCAGAGAAGGAGACTCCACAACCTCCCTGGGCAGCCTGTTCCAGTGTTCCGTCACCCTCACTGAGAAGAAGTTTCTTCTCAAGTTTAAGTGGAACCTCTTCTGTTCCAGTTTGCACCCATTGCCCCTTGTCCTATCATTGTTTGCCACTGAGAAGAACCTGGCTCCATCCTCGTGACACTCCCCCATTATATATTTATATACACTAATAAGGTCACCCCTCAATCTCCTCTTCTCCAAACTATAGAGACCCAGCTCCCTCAGTCTTTCCGCATAAGGGAGATGCTCCACTCCCTTAATCATCTTAGTTGCCCTGCGCTGGACTCTCTCCAGCAGGTCCCTGTCCTTCTAGACTGGAGGGGCCCAGAACTGGACACAAATCTCAGATGAGGTCTCACCAGGGCAGAGTAAAGGGGAAGGAGGACCTCTCTCGACCTACTAACCACCCCCCTTCTAATACACCCCAGGATGCCATTGGCCTTCTTGGCCACAAGGGCACAGTGTCGGCTCATGATCACCCTGTCGTCCACCAGGACCCCCAGGTCCCTCTCCCCTACACTGCTCTCTAACAGGTCGTTCCCTAATCTATACCGGAACCTGGGGTTGTTCCTGCCCAGATGCAGGACTCTACACTTTCCCTTGTTATATTTCATCAAGTTATTCCCCGCCCAACTCTCCAGCCTGTCCAGGTCTCGCTGGATGGCAGCACAGCCTTCTGGCGTGTCGGCCACTCCTCCCAGCTTAGTGTCATCAGCAAACTTGCTGATAGTACACTCAATTCCCTCATCTAAATCATTGATGAATATATTAAATAATACTGGGCCCAGTACCGACCCTTGAGGCACTCCACTAGATACAGGCCTCCAAGTAGACTCCGCCCCATAGACTACAACTCTCTGGCTTCTCTCCTTCAGCCAGTTCACAGTCCACCTCACTACCCGATCATCCAGACCACACTTCCTCAATTTAGCCGCAAGGATGCTGTGGGAGACCGTGTCAAACGCTTTGCTGAAGTCAAGGCAGACCACATCCACTGCTCTGCCATCATCCATCCACCGTGTTATTTCCTCATAAAAGGCTACGAGATTGGTCAAGCATGACTTCCCCTTGGTGAAGCCATGCTGACTGCTCCTCATAACCCTCTTATCCTTGATATGCCTTAAGATGGCACCAAGGATAAGGTGTTCCATCACTTTCCCAGGAATGGAGGTGAGGCTGACCGGTCTATAGTTACCCGGGTCCTCCTTCTTGCCCTTTTTGAAGACA